AAAGTTAAATAAATCTGCAAAAGGGATAACTGTTTGGACACACATGTGGAGAGAGAGAGAGAGAGAGAGAGAGAGAGAGAGAGAGATCAGTGTCTAAAACAAATAGAAAGAGGAATCCCTATTATACGCTCAGGTATGTCATGATATGCTGTAATGAAATGCTATGATTATATACACGCACTTGAAATTGAATATAAATAAAAACAATACATTTGTATTTCACATAATTGTATACAATATTGTCGGGCAGAGAGAGCACCGGCGTGTTTAGGCGTGGATGCGAGTGCACCACACAATAGGATAGGCTTCACTGCCAGTGCAACCTGTGCTCCACTACACACACCATAGCTCTCTCCAGTTCTCTCTCTCCAAGGTTGGGATGCGAGAGAGAGAGAGACTGCGAGAGAGACACACGGCTGACCTCTACGGCAATGCGCGCACACAGACTGTACGGATAGCGCAGCCGTTTGTACGGCTCGGCTACGCCTCCCACTCTATCGGAGCGCAGCCAGAAAAACGAGAACTGGAAGGGCTGGTAGCCGATGAGAGCTGGGGGTAGGCATACACTGAGGACAGGTATGTCAGGGTGGGGGTCGCAGCCACGGCGTGGAGAGTGCACTGCAATAGTGTGTGAGAGAGTAAAGGCAGAGTCGGCACTAGTTTTATACACATATATGTATACCCTATGTATATATCTATGAGTGGTATTCCAATGCGGAAGGTAAACTTTATATATATATATGCCCGCAGTATATATACGTGTATATCGCTTATATATATGAACTTTTTAACTGCGAAGCCTTAAAAACACTTTATTTTTCTTAAAGGCTGGTATAAGCGTATAGTATAGCGTTAAGGCACTGGTATGTCGTGTATACTGTATATGTATGGAGAGCTCAGGTATGGAAAGCAAAAAAAGAAGTTATCAGTTGAGAAAAGTGTGAGCACTGCCTGTGTTTCTCTCTCTGACTCTCTCAGTGCTCTCTCATCTCATTTCAGTCTCAACTGTGCCCTCACAGACACCACATCTCTCTCACATCCCAGAGCTTAGGCTAACTGTCCGCTCGTTTGTTGCGTTTTGATTTGTTTGCTGTGTTTCGGTGCAGAGAAAACAAAAAACTTTTTTCATTATCACTATTAAAGAGATTTTTAATTGTGTTTTACGAGTGATTTAAAACTTATTGTAGTTTTGACTATTGATAGTAATTTTGTGTACGATTTTGGCTAAAAGTTTTGCCCTGCTTATAATTTACACAACTTTTAATTTAATTTTTATTTGACAATTAATTTTGCGAAATATAATATTTATTGGATTTTCCGACATTTTTCGTGTGTTTTATGAAGTGATTGACTCTTTGGACACTTAAACAAACTTTTTCATCATAAATACCAAAAGGATTTTATATTTAATTTTCATCTCATATAACGTAAGTTTTGTTTTAAAATAAACTTTTAATATCAATAAATAGTTAGTAATAAAAATACATTATATGCAACTTTCAGTATTAAAGTTTTCAAATAATATCCAATTTATTAATTTCTATATTTTGTGGACACGAAAAGTGTTGAACTATTTTACAGCATAGCCTTAACCTTAACCTTAAACTCTAGACCGCTATTGAGAGCAAAATGTTTTCATTTTATGTATGACTTCCCCCTCTAACGAAAATATATGCAATAATTATATAAAAGCTTATTTCATATGTGTTTCACTTCTATACTATGTTTCGTGTTATTTGAAAACCTAAATAACATTTTTACTCTTAATTCCCATTTGAAAAAGTGGATCATTAGCCATGATATTATAAAAAATAAAATGCTGTTCATTATAAGTGTTTTTCATATGTATATTAAAAACTTTTTGTGTTATAATTTCATTTCGTTTGACCGACAAAAATATTTATCGCAAAAGCTTTCGATAGCTAAATATAATTTCAATTAATTTCTCACAAATAAGATGTCAATTATGAAAAGTTTTAAATTGATTTTTATAATGTTTTTCAAATAATTACTTATTATAATCGCCATTAAAACTATAGCTAAAATCGTATTTATCGGTTAGACATAAAACTTTTGGTAATTTTCGTGAACTAATTCATTACCAAATAAAATACGAAATCTATATAAAATATATCGAAATTATAGCCCTTTTGAATGACTATGTTTTTTAGCAACATCCATGTTCACCATAACGTGTAGTACATTATAAGCTGGTTTAGTTTAGTAAACAGGTTTGCTCGCAAAAAGGCTTTTATTTATTAGTTCGTTATAACTGTATATAACGTTATGTATTATATATAAAAATATATAGTTTTTAATGGATTTGCTCTCATTTTTTTCACTCACCTTAACATTGAATTTAAGGCAATCTCTGTATTATTCGCAATCAAATGGGATTCACTATAACCGCAGGGGTTGGGGTCGGGGGTAGATATATAGGGGGCTTAAAAATCGACAGCAAAAGCATTCAATCTTTGAAATAAAATATATTTTTCCAAAAAATTGTAATCTAATTAGTCTACGATAAAAGTGACAAAATATTTTCATATTAAAACAATTTCTCTCTGATATACATAAAAAAATATTTTGTCTATGTTTTTGTCTGTAGTGTATCTATAGATAGAAAATAAAATAACAAAAAACACATATCAATAGTAATTGTACGGAAGCTATCGATAACACTATTATTATGTATGCATTGATTGCTTATGTATTGTGAATACACTATACGGAAGAGTGGAAAAACATATAATTTTTGGGACTTTCTTAACACTTATAGACTGTGTTTGCAGTTATATTGAGATAATATTTGGGAAAAATAACTGTTTTATACATATTTATGCTGTTTTTGTCCATCATTTCACTCGTCTTTTCAATTCACTCGTATTGTGAACTAAAAATATAATATATTCTGTGTATAGATATTAAGCTAAATATACTGTATATATATCTAGTGGACACCGATTTTCACTTGAATGAACACTTTTTATTATAAACCTCTGTATATATTATACATCTATTGCTCTCTTTTTTATTACATTTTCTGTCAATTATAGTTAGAAATGAAAAAATTGACACTTTTTTCGCTACTTGTATACAATAGTCAGTAAATACACGGACAATATGTGTATCGCAATTGAATTGTATTGTATATCAATTGAAAACTGATTTTACTTTGCACAACAAGCTGTTACAGTTTGCGGGCACCGTTAGCCTATCAATTCAATATTATACGGTATTAGACAGTTATTCAATAGTTAAAAACCACTATCTCTTGTCCGAGCGCCTGGATTTGCATTTATATTAAGTAATAGCGAGTCCTAAAAAAGTCAAAATACAATTACCAAATCACATACCACTCCATTCAGTCGTAAAGTAAATCTGATTTAACGGAGGGGGAGGTTAGTGTCAAAAAAGTATACCAATTGCTAAACCCGTATATACTCTACAGTGGTTTGTGTTATTTGTTTTGTAGTTTTGGGTTTGATTTGAAAGTTATATTAGTTTTGACCTCAAAATACGAAATGCAAACACAATAGATAATAGATAATAATTCTCTCTCTCTCTCTCTCTCTCTCTCTCCACTATTTGCCAATTAATTCGGATTAGAAAACAACTCGAGAGAGCACTGGCTGTTATCAACTGTAAGCACTGGTAGGTATGTGTGAGCGAAAAGGATAGGCATATGTATGGGTAGTACACAACTCTCTCTCTCTCTCTCTCTCTCTCTCTCGACACTGAGAGAGACTTCCTTAAAAATATACTCTTCCCATACATTTCCAAACACTGATTGACACAATATATTGCGACGAGTCAGTCAGTCAGTGATGGGCACAGGGGTATGGGTGGGGGTTATAGAGAGATAGTGAATGGAGTGAACACGACATGAAAAAACTCTTACATAACATATGCTTTTAAACACACATTTAATACGAGATTTCATATTAAAAAGCACTGCAGGAGTGCTTCCAGTGTTTGTATTCAACGCATAAATAGTCATATCATTCACGTGTTGTGTCTCTCTATGCAAAGTCTATGTAAAGTTTTTTGCGGTGGTATACGAGGGGCTGGTATGCCAGTGAGATAGGATGGCCACTGACAATGCCACACGAATTGTTTTCAATTCACTATTTTCTGTGTCTATTATTATTTAAAAATCATATGTAGAAAAGCATCAAATCATAAATATATTCAAACATTATATTACATAACGTTTTGAGAAATAGATAATAAAACGGATATAATATTGAAAATCAAAACATAATCTCTTAAGAAAACTAATTCATAGATCCCTTTCCCACCGTAGAAGCCAGCCTACCTGAGCTCTTACGGCTTATTTATATACTATTTTAAACAACTGTTTGATTCCCTGCTTATAAGTCATTAATTGGAGAAAATACAGGTCAACCGAAATGGCTGTCCGTATAACTCATGCAAACAAATGATTATAATTTTTTTTAATGCGAATTCAATGGCAATAAAAATACATATTATTATATACAGTATACACAGAGATTGTCTGATTGTCAGACAACAGGTATGCCATACATGAGAGGGTTCACTACCAGCAGCGGCAACCATAGTGTGAATATTGCTGTGAAAGTAGTTCAAGACCAGGATGTGTCAGAGCACATACACGACACACACATATCTACCAGTGCTTACAGTTGATAACAGCCAGTGCTCTCTCGAGTTGTTTTCTAATCCGAATTAATTGGCAAATAGTGGAGAGAGAGAGAGAGAGAGAGAGAGAGAGCTATGATTTTAGCGACAAAACCCGGAATTTACTGATCATTATATCACACATATCTATGAGTCGACAGATTCTCCTATCCCTTCCCTGTCCTCGCAATACAAACAGATGTGTCTTATAAGAGACACATAAAAAAATCTCTACTCTTCCTACCATTCCCATCAAAACGGTGTACCGACTGCTAGCTATGAACTATAGCGGGTGTTCACTGTATATGAATAGGTGTAGGAAATTATGTTCAGTACATAAAAAGTGATCATTTGATTGACACGTTTATTGCTGTGAAAATACATTTCATACACCATTCCCGATGTGGTAGTTGTCTGTCCCTCAAAGTGTACGGCCTATTCATACGGATGAGACAATCGCTGTGTACTACCCATACATATGCCTATCCTTTTCGCTCACACATTAAGCATCGCATATATGGATGAGATTCCCATTATATGCCTTTCCATCCATACATACAGTGCTCTCACTATTAGGATACACACAATATGTGGCTTTTATTTAACTATACAATCAATACATACGAGAAATATATTGCATAAGAAATCGCTATTCAATAGGCGTTTAGAGAGTTAGCGATAAATGTTAAGCAATTCTTATGTGTGTGTGAGAGCGAGCACTGGGAGGATAGGGAGCTATCGCTTCCTATTGATCGGTCGCATCACTAATGGAAAGGCTCCGATAGGCGAGGGAACGGTATGGCGAAAAATAGAGAGACGGAAGGAGTTATTGTGTGTTATGTTACCAGGCAAGGGCAAGGTTATGTTTTGGTACCTACCGGTGCTATACCTTTCCAGTACTCTCTCACTCACCATACATACCATACCTGAGCTGAGGAGCTAACGGGCCGTAGAGCTAAGCGCCGCTCCAATTGTGTTAGCAGTGAGTGAGCGCTCCGTAACTAAGAGTGAAAAGACTTTTTCCTTAAGAAGTCTCTCTCTCTCTCTCTCTCTCTCTCTCTCTCTCAAGGACAGGGAAGGGATAGGAGAATCTGTCGACTCATAGATATGTGTGATATAATGATCAGTAAATTCCGGGTTTTGTCGCTAAAATCATAGCTCTCTCTCTCTCTCTCTCTCTCTCTCTCTCTCTCTGAGCGAAACGCATGAGAAAAGAGAATGTGTTTTAAGACGTTTGAAGAGTGAGGTCAGGGAGGAGAGGGGATCGGGAGAGCTATGGGAGAGGGAGGGGGAGGGTATGTGTGCGCATACATACATAGCAATAGGCGATAGCGAAACAAGTGTGAGAGTATATGCGGTCGTTGAACTGTTACCTACCTGTGCTCTCTCGTTCTCTCATAGTATATTCACTCTCTCTATGACTATGAGAGAGCACATGTATGTGCTTTGGGAATGGTATGAGAGCACCGGTGGGAGCGTTAGCTCTCATATTTACCACTGATTTCTTAAATGAAAAAGTCTTTTAAAGTCATAGAAAAAGACATAAACACTGCACTGAAAAACAACACCAAAAATCAGAGCATTTCCTTAACTTATTATCTGTCTGTCTGTGTCCCCACATACCTTTCCCCTCGCTTGCATACCTATGCTTAAGCTTTGGGGACTACCGGTGATTGATATCAAGTGATTAGACGTTTCTGTGGTTTATTTTAGCCGTAAATTTAAATCTATTTTTGTTTTCTTAATTCAAAAAAGATTTTTCATG